GGTACAGGCTGCATCCCCAGGGCTCACCTGCCCTCTGTCTTCCAGGTGAGTGCAGCCAGTGGCAAGTGTGAGCAGGAGGCCTGGAGGCCAAAGGAGAGAGAGACCCTGTGTCTGCACACACAGACACACCCCCACATGTGCTCCTGCCCTTCCTGTCTGCGTTGTTACAGTGGCTGGACTCCTCTCCTGACACATCTCCCACGGAGCACTACTGCCCTGGCCCCGGTTCCCACCGGGCTGCAGGAACACCACTCCCATCCCACACCCCTTTAGATTTAGGGATGATTAGGGATGACGATGGCTTCCTGTTCGACTAGTGCCCAGCTGCTTCCCCTTAAACTCCACGCCTCCTCGAAGCAGTCCATTCGTTCAGCGCTCTGGATTTAAACCCTCCCATGTGCCATCTGTTTCCCACAGGACCCTGACTGCTGCAGCCCCCGAGCGTGGGATGGCTTTCCTCCTTATCACTGCCACCATCTCTCCACGTGTCATAAACCAACATAAGAATGCCAGACCTCCTTTCGGTGTCCCACAGGCATCCTTACCAAGTCAGAGAGCCTAGAAATAGGCACTTTCAGGTGAGCGGGCAAAATTGCCCGATTCTCCTTCAGTGGTGGTAACATCAGTATCAATATTCTATTAGCCAAAGTCTATTTTAAAAAAAAACCGTTGGGCTCTTTTGAGAGAGGCGATATGGATAGGACAGACAGACCTAGGTTGGAATCCCAGTTCAAACTCACTGGGTTTGAACCTTGACCCAGTCACTTACAAGCTGTAAGAACTTCCTGTGTCTGAGTCCTCATTGGCAAATTGGGGAAAATAATACCTGCCTCTCAGCCTTGCTTCAAGGATTGAATATTACAATCTATGCAATGCCTGGCACATTCTAAAGAGATGCTCAGTAAATGTTAACTGTCTTTCTCTATTAGGCAACTGGGAGGAAGAGGGAGGAAGCCATCAGAACAATTAGATGGGTTAAAGTGGCTTCTCCAGAAATCCCATACCACCTCCTTCAGTTCTCCAATGGAATAGCCAGGGGCTGATATGGCACTGGACCAAGACAGGAAAAAAAAAGAAAAAGAACCCATCAGAAACTAGGCTTTTGTCAAAAAAAAAAAAAAAAACCCAATGCTGAAACCCAACTGCAGCAAGCAATTAGGGAACAATAGCTAAATACTTTCTATAATTAGAGAGAGAAGCATCACAAGTGATGAGAGCGCCTTTGTCTGCACTGACCCTCTTCACCCAAAGAAGATCTTGGCTCACATGAGACGGAGACTGGGGATCTTTGTGTCTTTTTTAGTTTTCTTAAGAAATTAAATCTCACACCACTCTTCTGTTGCCAGGAAAGGGGGGAAGCGGAGAAAGCGAGGACCCTCTGGCCAGACAGGCACCTGGAAATGTGACTCACTGTATAGGACTAATTCAATCCTGAAAGAGGAGAAAGTCTTATGGCTTTGCTGAGAGTTCCTGACCCCCTGGCCTTATCCTGCTTGTCGGGCAGGTGGATGGGTTGCCATTTCTGTAGGAAGACGAGGCAGGTGGGTTTTGACCATCACCTAGTCTGCTTCTTTTGTTAAAATCTGTGCTGCGTGCTAAGTCGCTTCAGTCGTGTCCAACACTTTGCAACCCTATAGACTGTAGCCCACCAGGCTCTTCTGTCCATGGGATTCTCTAGGCAAGAATACTGGAGTGGGTTGCCATGTCCTCTTCCAGAGGATCTCCCCAACCCGGAAATCAAACCTGCATCTCTTACATCTTGTGCATCGGCAAGAGGGTTCTGCCACCTGGGTAGCCCTGCTAAAATCTGGGGGCAGCAAATCCTTACTTTTTAACAATGGATATTCCAGACAAAAGAAAAGAGGATATTTACACAACCATTCACACTGGAGAATTGCTGTCTATGTCTTGACAGAAGAACAAAGCTGGCTTCCTCACCCAAAATCTCTATGCTTTCCCAGGCACTTCTGTTCTCCCAGGCCCCCAGGTTCTAACCCAAGTCATCCTTTTCCTTCATTCTTCTCAACCCCTCATTACTCACTCAGTCTCTTGACACTTCCTTCTTTTTTATTATTTTTAAATACTTATTTATTTATTTGGCTATGCAGGGTCATAATTGCAGCATGTGGGATTAGTTCCCTGACCAAGGATCAAACCTGGGCTCCCTGCATTGGGAACGTGGTGTCTTGGCCACTGGACCACCAGGGAAGTCTCTTTTGACATGTCCTTCTATAACCTTTCCCATCCTTCTCTTCCTCCCCATACGGACCACCACAAGCATTGTCAAGCTCCACACACATCCCATGACTAGACTTCCATCTAGTCCCCGCTCCTCCAAACATTCCACAGAACACCACCTAAGGCACGGCATTCCCAATGCCATCCTGTACACCCAGAGTTTCTAAACTACGGCACTCTCTAAGCTAAGTGCTTCTGCTGGTAGATGATTTTAGGTGGTGTGGTGCACGCGGTTAGTGTCCGGTTCCCTTGACCAGCCAGTATGCCCATCACTCAACTGCTATGAGTGTTGGCTGTTCACAGCTCACAGTAGCTCCCTTCTCTGGAACATTGACGGGCTGAAGGGGCCTGCCTCACCAGGGGATGTCTGAAAGGCTACACCCCCTCCCATTCCTACATCATGCTTTGAAGAAGATATCCTGTTTCTCAAATGCTGGGCTGCTACAAAGTGTTTCTCTGGGAGAAAACCAGGTCAGTCTAGGAAAATCTAGGACACCTGCAATGCGGGTCCGTGAGAGGCCGTGGAGACGGAGTTGTCTCCGCCTCACTGCCTGGAAGGAAGAGTTACTGGAGGTCTGCTGTGATCCAGGTACGGAGCCACTCTCAGACACCAGACCTTGTTTTGAGAATACTGATGTAAATAACGATGCCCCTGTACCACTGAGAAATCCATAGTTTGGTAGTAGACCGAGATTTTTTTTTTTTTTTAATTTTACAATCAGTTTTCCAGTGGTCAAGACTTTGCCTGCCAGTGCAGAGGTTATGGATTCTATCCCTGGTCAGGGAGCCAAGATCTCACATGCCTCGTGGCCAAAAAAGTCAAAACATAAAGCAGAAACAATATTGTAACAAATTCAATAAAGGGTTTTTTTATAGTGCCTTATAGACAAATTTGTAAAGTAATACTGGGGGAGGGGAGAGCCCCTCTGTTCCTTCTGCCCGTGGAGCACAGTGAAGTTCAGGATTCAGCAGCTGACTTCCAGAGTAGATTCTCTCGCTTTGTTGCTGAGAGACCCCAGGCAAGTCCCTGGTGGTGTCTACTAGCACAAAAGAGCAATTGAAATGCCCCTTAGAAGCCTGGAAGGAAATACACCAACTTCGTGGAAATTGTCTCTGGATTATAGGATTGCAGGTGGGTTTTATTTTCTTCTGTTCGCTTTTCTATTTTTAAAATTTCCATAGAGAATAAAATCCTTTTGAAATCAGCAAAAGAAACACTAACTTTTAAAAATGTGGTTTAATTCTCAAAAGTAAGCTCCACCGTGCAATCTTTTGAGTATATACACTCCTCCTCACACTTTCTCTCTTTGCTTGTCTGTTTAGCGGTATTCCTCAAAGGGTAGTTTCTGTGTCTCATTTCAGATCTGGTGATGGAAATATAGAAGATGATCCCAGAATATCTCGTCGTTCCAGAATTCCTGGATGTTATTGAAAACTATGGGTGTTGGGTCAAAAGTATTCAGAAGTCAACATTAAGAGTCTCCCATTTGCTAAAAGTGGGGCAAGTTAATCATCAATCTGCTAAAATGATTAATGGATTGACACACATCAAATATGTTTAACTCCATAAAGTTTACAATGATACTCAAAAAAATAAGTCACATGTAAAGAATAGTAGGAAACCACCTAATTATTATAAATTAGATGGCCATTAAAGAGAAAGAATTGAGCATTCAGTCTCTTTCCTTTGTGATCTGTTCCAAAGTGTAGTCAAATAACTGATGAAGGGAAGATTCTCTTACAGAAGTATTCCAGCTAATAAATGGAAAAGGAGTGATAGAACATCACTAATTCACAATAACTAATGATTTATGGGTGTAGCAATGATCATAAATAGCAGCTAACATTACAAGAAAGACCACCAGACTTTGAATCTGCCTTATAGAAGTAAACACTACCAACTGTGAAATTGCTCTATTCCCTCCCCTGACCCCACCACAAAAATGAAGCAAAAAAAAAAAAAAAACCTCTGAATCTAATCAGTCCTTTAGACCTAATGAAGAACTTATAGGAAACAGAGGAGGAACATTACAAAGATACAAAATAGAGGTTATGGGAACCTCTACAAAGCAAACAAAATATTGCGTGGAAAAAATAATAATAAATGAGATGGAAGGGGAACCTATAAGTAAAAGAGATATAATGTTACTGAACTCAAGTCCAACTGCCCACCACTAGAAAATCAATATTCAAGAGGCGAGTGTTGGTTGAAATGACAAATGTTACTTTTAATTAAAAAGCCAGCATTCTGGGGAGAAGACAGGCTTGTGTCCTAAAACCAACTCTGAAGATTCTGCTTGGCCACGAAAGTTTTCAAAGGGAAGATGGGGAAGTGATTTCAGTTAATCATTAAGACAGGGAATCGGACTCATCGGACTCATCATTACCTCCCACTGTGTGCAGGCCCCTGTGCAGGCTTGTCAACTCCTCCTGATCCTAATTTACATGCTGTCTCATTCACACAGTTTATTCATGAGAAGGGGAAGCTGGGGAAGAGATCTGTTCATCTGTTAATTACTTCTACTTCTGTTAATAATATCTGTTAATAATTTCACTCTGATGAATGGAAAGAACTAACAGTTTAGGCAAAGTATTTTGTGATCAAAAGATTTGAATAGCAGTTTGGGCTGGAGATGCCTGGTTTGAGGTTAGTTACAGTAGCTTTGCTAAAGTGACAAGACAAAAGGGGCCTCCTGCAGAGAGCTCTTCTCTGCAAAAAGCTGCTTATAAAGCCCCACTTGTCAGAACGTCATTCCATCTCTATGGAATTATGGATGAAGGGGCCTTCCCAGGCGGTGCCAATGGTAAGGAATCCGCCTGCCAGGCCTGCCCTGGTGGCTTGGTGAAGTGAAGTCACTCAGTCGTGTCCGACTCTTTGCAACCCCATGGACTGTAGCCTACCAGTCTCCTCCGTCCATGGGATTTTCTAGGAAAGAGTACTGGAGTGGGTTGCCATTTCCTTCTCCAGGGGATCTTCCTGACCCAGGGATCGAACACAGGTCTCCCACATTGCAGGCAGATGCTTTACTCTCTGAGCCACCAAGGTGGCTTAATGGTGGTAAAGAATTCACCTGCCAGCACAGGAGACGTGGGTTCGATCCCTGATGCAGGGAGATCCCACATGCCGCAGAATAGCTAAGCCCACTTGCCACAGCTATTGAGCCTGTTCTCTGGAGCCCCGGAGGCACAACTACTGAGCCCATGCGCCCCAACCACTGAAGCCCTTGTGCCCTAGAGATCGTGCTCCGCAACAAGAGAAGCCACTACAATAAGAATCCCCCAAGCGCAGCAACTAGAGAGTAGCCCCCACTGTCTGCAACTAGAGAAAAACCCGCGCAGCCACAAAGACCCAGCACAGCCACACAAAAAAAAGAATCCTCCTGCAATGCAGGAGACACAGGAGACTCAAGTTCAATCCCTACGATAGAAAGATAACTTGGAGGAAAGCAATGGCACTCCAGTATTCTTACCTGGAAAAATCCACGGGCAGAGGAGTCTGGTGGGCTACAGTCCATGGGGCCACAAAGGATCGGACATGATTTAGTGAGTGAATGATGACAACTTCATGCTAGCATGCGTGCTTGCTAAGTTGCTTCAGTCGTGTCTGACTCTTTGCAATCCTATGGGCCATATCCCGCCAGGCTCCTCTATCCATGGAATTCTCCAGGCAAGGATACTGGAGTGGGTAAGATCGGGCACCATATTCTCAGCGTGCAAGATGTTGACATGGGTCTGTAAGCCTCTCTGTGCTGACACTTTCAGCTGCCTGCTTACATATATGGGTTGAGCAAGTTATAATTATTTTGATGTCCAAAAAGATACAGATATTTATGAGCAGTAGTGTTAATCCCGTTCTCTTAAGGCCAGTTCTTGGGATTGTGCTAGCCAGAGATTCAGTACTGCTTAAGATGGAGCAGCTTAAGTCATGGCTGCCGTCTGGTCATCCTGCAGTTAGCTTTTTTCCTGTGATGACAGTTACAGAATCTGTACAAACAACTCATGCTGAAGGATTCTATGACTCTATTGTCCTAATCATTAGTTGCTTGATACTGAGCACTTTTGTGACACCAGGAAGCCCAGGAGACTAGCTTTTCCACAGACAAGAGGCAGGAGACATGGAGGGGCCTTTGTGCGTGGAGGGGCTCTGCACAATTCTGCTCTGTTCCATGAGATATATCAACCTAACACAGTGGATCTCAATTTTCAGATAAATAAATTGCATGTGAGTATGCACGTGCATATAAAGTAAAACCCAAGAACATTTTTTTTTTAAATGTGAAACATAATTTTAACAAAATCAAGGAAATTCAAGCACTGGATATTTGATTATATCAAGGATTTTTTTTTTAATTTAGGCATGACAATGATACTGTAGTTGTGGCTTTTAAATAGGAGTCTGTGTTTTAAAGAAACATAATAAAATTTTACAAATGAAATATGATGCTTGAGATTTGCATCAAAATAATCCAAGAGAGGAAGTGGGAAAGTGGATCACAGACAAAACTGGCCTGTATTGAAAATTGTTAAAGTCACTGGTGAATTCATCAGGTTCATTTCCCTGTTGTATTTTTTAAGACCTTTGAAATTTTCATTGATAAAATACTCTGGAAGTTCATGGCTGAAACTTGAAAATTTCAGAAAAGTAAAAGAAGAAACATTATCCATAATCCCACCCTGCAGAGATAATCACTACTATCATTTTACAGTATATCCTTCTTGACTTTTAAATAATACATGTAAAAGAAACCCTTCTGTGAATATCGTTTTTGTACTGCTTCTTTCACTTAAGATAGTATATTTTTTCTTGTCCTTAAAAACTCTAAAGCATTGTTCTTAATAGCTGTAATAGTGTTTTAGTTTCTAACATTTACTTAATCAAAACTCCATTTTTACTGCTAAAAATTTTGCTGCTATGAACATCCTTGTAAATCTTTATTTGAGAGTACCACTCATTTTTAAAAGTAGAATTAGTGTTTAAAAGACTAAACATTTTCAGGTATTTAATACAACTACCAAATCATTCTTTAGAAAGGTCATCCACTTCTGTTTCTACCTACAGTGAAGTAGAATTCCCCTTTTCCTGAAAACTTACTTTTCTGGAAGCATTTAATATTCCCTACTTAATAAAAAATTCTAAGTCAAAAGAGCAGTTGATAAGTGTGTTGGAGCCAGACAAGCCTACCTTTGATACCTGTTAGCTGTGTAACGTTGGGAGAGTTAGTTAACACCTCTGTCCTGGGAACAGACAAGCACTGGGAGATCATAACCATTGAATACGGTCACAAATGCAATGATATATTATCTGTCAATTTCCTAGCACCGTTCTTGGCTTGGCAGATGTTAGCTGTAACTATCATCATTATCATTATTATTATTATTATTTTTATTATACATTACCTTTCTATGTAAAATTCATATTTTTATAACAGTTGTTTTTCTTTTCATGAAGAGGCCTCTTCACTCGTTCCTGCATTCGAGTCTGTATTTAAGAAGTGCTGTTGTTGTTTAGTCCCTCAGTGCTGTCCAACTCTTTTGTGACCCCATGGAACTGTAGCTCGCTAGATTCCTCTGTCCATAGAATTACCTAGGCAAGAATACTGGTGTGGGTTGCCATTTCCTTCTCTAGGGGAACTTCCCAACCCAAGCGTCAAACTTGCGTCTCCTGCATTGCAGGCAAATTTTTTACCACTGAGCCACCTGGGAAACCTCAAATTTAAGACAGCTTATGGATAAGTTAGGGTGCTTTTGGTTGCCTCCAAAAAAAAGCCCAAGTTAGACTGAGGGAGCGGCAGCATCCAGAAGGACAAAGGATTCAGGAGATGTGCTCTGACTGTCCTCAATAATTCTGTCCTCAACAGTTTGCCTATCTCTGACTGTTGCTTTCAGCCCCATAATGATGTTCCTAGAATAAGACAGCTTGTCAAATAAAAAAGACACAACTCAATCTACAGGCTTCTTTGTTCCCCTCCATCTGGAAAAAGAAAAAGCCCCTGCCCCCTACCCTCCAGTTAGATCTTTTTTTTTTTTTTTACTTTTTATTTTGTATTGGAATATAGCCAATTAACAAGGTTATGATAGTTTCAGGTGAAAAAGAAAGGGGCTCAACCATACATATACATGTATCCATTCTCCCCCAAACTCTCCTCGCATCCAGGCTGCCACACTGAACAGAGTTCCATGTGCTATACAGTAGGCCCTTGTTGGTCATCCCTTTTAAATATAGCAGTGTACACATGACCATCCCAAACTCCCTTACTATTGCTTCCCCCTGGCAACCATAAGTTTGTTTTCTAAGTCTGTGAGTCTCTTTCTGTTTGGTAAATTCATTTGTAATCATTTCTTTTTAGATTCCATTTATGAGGGATGTCAGACGATATTTCTCCTTCTCTGTCTCACTCACTTCACTCAGTTTGAAACTCTCTAGGTCCATCCATGTTGCTGCAAATGGCATCATTTCATTCTTTTTAACCCCAGTTAGATCTTGAGATGTATACTGATTAAGAAAACTGTTTTTTGTTTTACTTAGTTTTTAGCTTGTGTGTGTGTGTAACTTGATAAGCACATTCTCAAGGTAAAGGGCCAAGTTGTAACACACTACTGAATCAGGAGAATAAAGTGAGAGGGCTTGCTGCAACATGAACAGAATAAAGAGCCCCCAAGCAGACCTGCACATGAGGATCCTTGCTACATAACAGAGGTGGCCTGCAGAGCAGTGAGGAAAGAACATATTTGTTAATAAATGATGCTAGTAAAATTGAGTATCTGTGTAGGGAAAAAAACAACTGAAATTGCACTCATATCTCAGCTCATACACAATAGTCAATTCCAGGTGGAATTGACTGAAGTATAAAAAGGAAAACTAGAAAGCTTTTACAAGATAATACAGGAAAGCACTTTCAAGACCTTGAGACAGGGCAGCATTTCTTAAACAAGACACGAAAAGCACTACCATTACTGAAAAGATTCATAAATTTGCTTACTTAAGAGTAAGGATTTTCTATTCATCCAGAGATACCATAGTTAGAGCCAAAGAAAAAGTAGACCAATGGAAAATACTTGCAATACTACAAAACAGAAACAGACTCACAGACACAGAGAAAAGTCTTATGGTTGCCAAGGGGACAGGAGCAGGGGGTGGGCTGGGAGTGTGGGATTAGCAGATGCAAACTATTATATATAGAATGGATAAACAACAAGGTCCGGCTGTATAGCACAGGGAACTATATTCAATATCCTATGATAAACCATAATGGAAAAGAATATAAAAAGAATGCATGTATGTATAACTGAATCACTTTGCTGTAGAGCAGAAATTAACACAACATTGTAAATCAACTATATTTCAATAAAATAAATTTTTTAAAAAGTACTTGCAACAGACAAAGCACTGGTTTCCAAACAGCATGACAATTTCTCACAAATCAAGAAAAAGACTTATCAACCCATAAGAAAATGGACAAGAGACTTAAACAGGAGCTTAACAAAAGAGGAAATCAAAAATTCTCCCCTCATCAGTAATCATGGAAATGCAAATTAAAATCAATGCTGTCATTACATACCAGATGTAAAATTTTACATGAGTTTATCAAGTGTTGGAGGTGGGACTATAAACTGAATCACTCGCTTTGAAAAACGGTTTGGTATTATCTGGAAATAGGAAGATCCGCATATCCTATGACTTTAGTCATCTATTCCTAAATGTGTACCCTAGAGCAACTGCTGTGCAAATATTCAAAGTTGCACCATTCATTAATAACACCAAATTGGAAACAGCTCAAATGTTTATCAACAGGAGAACAAAGTC